TTTTATTTATTTATTTGACAGAGACACAGTGAGAGAGGGAACACAAGCAGAAGGAGTGGGAGAGGGAGAAACAGGCTTCCTGCTGAGCAGGGAGCCTGATGCAGGGCTCAATCCCAGGACCCTGGGATCATGACCTGAGCCAAAGGCAAACGCTTAACGACTGAGCCACCCAGGCACCCCTATTTATGTCTTCTTTAATGTCTTCCAGCACTGTTTTGTAGTTTTTATTGTGCAAATCTTTTACATCTTTGGTTACATTAATTCCTAAGATTTCTTTTGATGCTTTTGTAAATGGAATTGCTTTTGTAATTTCCTTTTCAGATTGTTCATTGTTCCTGTATAGAAGTGCAACTGATTTTTGTGTGTTGACATATCTTGCTACTTTGCTGAATTCATTTAGTTGATCTAACAGCATTTTTTGTGGAGTCTTTAGGTTTTTCTACATATAAGAGTATATCATTTGCACGGGTGATTTTACTTTTTCCTTTTCAATTTGAATACCTTTTATTTCTTTTTCTTGTCTAATGCTGTGACTAGAACTTCCAGTACTGTGTTGAATGGAAGTGGAGAAAGCAGGCAGCCTTGCCTTGCTCCTGATCTTAGAAGAATAGCTTTCAATCTTTCACCATTGAGTATAATTTTTCCTATATTTTTTACATACATGGCTTTTATTATGTGGGGTTAGTTCCCTTCTATTCCTATTTTGTTGAGTGTTGTTATCATGAAAGATTGTTGGAATTTGTCAGATGCTTTTTCTGCATCAATTGAGATGGTCATTTTGTTTTTTCCTTCATTGTGTTGATGTGGTAAATTATACTGATTGATTTTTATATGTTGAACCATCCTTGGATTCCAAGAATAGATCTACTTGGTCATGGTATATAATCCATTTTATTTTATTTTTTAATTGAAGTATAATTAACATATAATTTTATATTAGTTTAAGATGTACAACATACTGATTCAGCAATTCTATACATTAGTCAATGCTTACCACAATAAGTGTAGTCACCAGCTGTTGTCATACATGATTACAATATTATTGACTTTATTTACTGCTCTGTATTTTTCTTTTTTTTTTTTAAGATTTTATTTATTTATTTGACAGAGAGAGACACAGCGAGAGAGGGAACACA